GCTCTTTCTGATGACCTTCTTGAAGCCACTCGCTCCACTCGTGCGTCGAAGCTGCGCCGAACGTCCGTCGACCCGCGTCGAACCCGCGTCGAACCCGAGTCGAACCTGAGCCGAACCTGAGTCGAACCCGAGTCGAACTGGAGTCGAACCTGAGTCGAACTCGAGTCGAACAGATCAATTAGGCAGGCCCAGGAAAGGTCCCCAAAAAGGTCATCGAAAGACACGAGGAGGAGGAGGAGGAGGAGGAGGAGGAGGAGGAGGAGGAGGAGTGAGGAGGAGGAGGTGAGGAGGAGGAAGGAGGATGAGGAGAAGGAGGAGGAGGAGGAGGAGGGAGAAGAGGAGGAGGAGGAGGAGGAGGAGGAGGAGGAGGAGGAGGAAGGAACCCTAAATAAGGAGCGAGGCCCCTTTTTTCCAGAAGTTATAACCTTCGACTTCCCGTCGAAAACATCAGGAAAGCCTGAGGCAAGCTGCGAAACACTCAAGGAACACGGAGCCCCTCCCCAACCAAAAGGGTTCCCTCTTCAGATCCCCGACTGTAAGCAGACACGGATCCCAGGATTCCCCATACGTTCGCCCATCTTCTGGATCGTCGTCTTCCCCTCCGTTGCCCACATGTTCCATATGTTCCTCGGCATCGACGATTCGTTGCGCACGTGTGCGTTCTTCGATCCCGGGGTGAGAGGGAGGGAGAGGGGCTCCAGAGAAGGCCGGCGGCTTCTGGACACCCCTCCTGGCCTCTGGGCACAAGACGAAGCCAGGACGAGGACAAAACAGATGAACCGAGATTAAATCGAGGACAGATCGGGGATAAAGGCCCCAAATAGAGGATAACTCGAAGATAGACCAGGACAAATCGAGGATAGATCGAGGACAGAAGCCAGCCCGCGAGGATAATTCGGGGATGAATGCCCCCAACAAGCCCCAAAGAGGCCCCCAAGAGGCCAAAAAGAGGCCCCAAAATGGACTCCAAGGCGCTTCAAGACTGCCCCCGAACAGCTCCCAAGACGCCCGCAAGAATCCCCAGATAGTGGCCGAGAAGCCCACGACGCCTCAACCGTGGACTCCCCGCCTCGTCAGGGGGTCGGCAGAATGGCGTAAGCCCTTGGATAAATCGAGGATCTCTGAGATCCAGCGGCCCTGTTGGAGGCCTGGAAGTTGGCACCAACACCAGCACAGGGGGTTGCCTCCACATGGGGAAGATGAGCCCAGATATCGGTCTTGGTGGTAATGTTTCGGTCACCTTGGAAGCCAGAAAATTACCACCATCACCGAGATCGGGATCGTCTTCCCTCGGTGGAGGCACACCGCCGATCTTGGTGTTGGTGTAAACCTCTACGCCAGCGGCTCTGCAGAATGTCTCGGGCGCCGCGGCCTTCTCGGAGCGTTCCGGAACGCTCTGAGAGCGTTCCGGGACGCTCTGGAACGGACTCGTCCTCGTCCCGGCCCCGCCCGGCAGAGGCCCTCCCCTCCCGGCCTCTGGGCAGCCCTCTCGGAAGCCGCCGGGTGCCTTCCAGAAGGCCCACGCCCTCTAAGAAGCCCCCCCCCCGCGGCTTCCTGGCACCCCAGAAATCTGGGCCCCTTCTCTGGAACAGGCCCCGATGTTGAGTTGTTTGGTTCACGGCCCAGAGGCCCGCTGAGGGCCCCGGGGGCCGAACCTTCGCAAAAGCCTTCGTCGTGATTCTTGCTCACGCCCCGAGGATGCCAGGGTTCTCAGAATCCCAGAGGAGGAGGAGGAGGAGGAGGAGGAGGAGGAGGAGGAGGAGGAGGAGGATATGGAAGAGGAGGAGGAGCCCCCCACGGCGCCACCCCCTCGTGGGCGCCGCCGGGATTCTCGATGCGCTGCACCAACGCCACCACCTGCTCGGCGACCGTGGAGGCGTCCGACCGCATCAGGCGGCTGTAGAGGTCCTCTCCCGTGGCTCAAGGATTGGGGTCCTGAGGGACGGGGTCCTGGAGGACGGGGTGCCTCAATCTGGGGACCCACCCTCTGACGCCTCCCCATCCTCAAGACCCCGTCCCCCCGGGCCCGATCTTCGAGCCACCGATCCTCTCGCCATCGCTCGGGCGTCCATGCCCTGTGTTTTTTTGTTCGGTTTCGTGCGTGGCTTCTTCGCCAAATGATCAAGGATGCTCCTCGAATGTCCTCGCCGAAGGAAAAATGCACACATGTCCGAGCGATGCCAAGTCCTTGAGGCCCGCAGACGAGGAGTCGTCGCCGCACAGCCGCTGGAGCTCCGGGACCTCGGCCACGTTGCGGCGGACCTCCTCCAGGGGGCGGACGTCGAGGGCGCAAGAGCGGCACGGAGGTAAACTCTTCGGGAGCGGCCAAGAGGGGGGGGTCCAAGACGGGGGGGTGCAAATCATGACCGGCGGCATGTGCGCGGCGCTGCGGGGGGGCCAGGGACGTAATGAAATGAGAAGAGGCGCCACGAAATCCCCCGCCATGATATTCACCCCCCCCCCCCTAGTCATCACCCCCCTCTTTTCCGCCCCCGAACTCTCGAGGCTCCGCGCGGAGCCTGCTGGACCGGCGCTGGGCCACCCCCCCCGGGCGGCGCCGCGCCAGGGAGGAGAGCCCAGCGCCGATCCAAGAAGCCCCGCGCGGAGCTCCGAAAGGTTTACGCTTAGGTCGGGCGTGTCCCCCTACAGGCCGATGTTGGGCGAAAAATGGCAAATACACCAAAAGCATACTCCAAAACTGTCACAAAATGGTCGAAAAATCGCCCCCTGCCTATCTTTTTACCATTCTGGAATACTCCCCCCTGTAGAGGGACGGGCCCGACTTCAGCTTCTGCTCGTGCCGCCGTTGCCTCCCTCGAGGAAGGCGCAGAGGGCCTCGAAGGCCCCCAGGGGGAGGCAGATCTCGGGCTTGTGGTTCGGGTCCTTGTATCTGTCGGGACTTGGCGGCGCCGACCCCAAAGGGGGTGGCGCGAGGGAGGCGGCACTCCCAGGAGGGCGGAGGGGCTCCTGGGAAGGCCCGGGGCCTGCTTTCAGAAGGCCCCGCGGGCTTCTCGGAAGGCTCCCCGCGGAAGCCCGGCGCCACTCCCCCCCGTGTGGGCGCCGCCAGGGGATACGTGTCGTGGAGGTACTCCGCCAGCTGCTTGTGGGGGTGCGCCTGGATGGAGAGCGCCTTGTGCACGGACAGCACCTTGAGGAGGAAGGGCAGGTTGCCCAACCTGGCGTCGCGGCCCAGCCAGAACTCTGGGCCAGAGGAACAAAAAGCGGCACAGACATACTCCAGACTTCGTAATATAAAAGGGAGGGGGTCTGGACCCTCCAAGACGAGCCACTTCAGACCTCCCCCGTGGGAGAACCCTCCAAAACATCGTCCCCAGACCCCCCCCAGGCCCTCCAGGATAGCCTGGAAGAGACCCCCCCCCGAAATGAGATCCCCCTCCCTTTGTTACGAAACCTGGAGTAACCCCTGGGAGCTCCGCGCAGACTTCCCGGATCGGCGCCGAACACCCCCGAGGCGGGCCCAGCGCCGACCCAGGACATCCGCGCGGAGCTCCGACTTGTACGCCCGACCTGGGTACGGGAAAAACATCGGTGCAGCCGGAGCTCGACCACAAGGAGCCTTCTTCAAGAAAACCCCACCCTGAGACCCCAGGGCGTCCATTGATTTCTGGTGTGGGAGCGTCGCGCTTCCCATAGCGGCACCATCGAAGAACCAAGAAACCCAGGGCACCCTGGAGGCAACCAGGGTGTTCCTTGGCATGGGTCTCCACTGCACGATGCCCGACAGCAAACGATTGTCCAAATCCGACAGCGGCCGCTGCTGTGGGCAGGCGGCTCCTATGCCTCGCATGTGGACACCGGCCAAGGCGACACCCACAGCGAACTGCGGCTGGTCTTCGCCCCCCTTCCAGCGGGCCCTGAGGGGAACGGGTCCTGGGCTTCGGTCGGCCATGTCCCCCAGCGGACTATGGACGAAAAATAAAAGATAGTCAACAACTACACCCAAAAAAATCAAAAATGGTCAAAACACAATGGCCCCCAGACCATTCTTGCCTATGTTTGAAGATTCTCCCTGTGGAGGGACAGGCCCGACCTGATCGGGGGCCCCACTGGGATGACCGTGGGGGGTCCTAAGTGGATAGGGGGGTTAAATGTGGATGCCAAGGTGGGTTATATCTGGCCCAACCTGGCTTATAAGTGGGTTACAAGTGCCCTAAGTAGCTTAGGGGGGTTAACGATCTGGGCTAGGTGGGCTCCGCCCACTTAGCCGAGTTATCGACCCCTCCCAAGCTACTTAGGGCCCGTGTAACCCACTTATAAGCCAGGTTGGGCCAGATAACTATAACCCACCTTGGCATCCACTTGTAACCCCCGTATCCACTTAGGAACCCCCACGGCCATCCCAGCAGGGGCCTTCCCCAAGGACGAGCTCCTTCCTCCGGCATCCTTCTCCGACGGCCCCTCGGGGCCCCCGGAGGGCCCCCAGAGCCCGAGAGCGACGACGAAGACCCCGGGGCCCGCCTCCCTCGGGACCCGCTTCTGGCGGCCCCCTATGATGGGCTTGTTTTCCACCACCACCACCACCGTAGGATGGGGTCCTCTTCTTCCTCCTCCTCCTCCTCCTCCTCCTCCTCCTCCTCCTCCTCCTCCTCTTCCTCCTCGTCTTCCTCTTCGTCCTCCTCCTCCTCGTCCTCCTCCTCCCCCCCTCCAACTTATGGTGGTGGTGGTGGAAAACACGCCCATCACCCTAGACGGGGTCGGAGCAGACGGGGTCGGAGGACGACGCCGCATCGCCGATGCATCGCCGATGCATCGGCGATGCGTCGACGCTGCACCGGCGATGCATCGTCGACGACGGCGATGCATTGGCGACGTCGTCGTGGAGCAAATCGGGCTCCACGTCGGGCCGCCTCGGCGATGCATCGGCGACTGTGGCGAATCTTTCTCCGACCCCGTCGACCCGAGAGCTTCTCCCCGGGGCGACAGAGCGCATGCCCGTGCCGCTCTCCTCCCTCGAGCTGGGTTGGCCGCGATCGTCTGCTTCAGGTCCGCCGTGACGCGCCCCCCCGCGCCGTCCGCGCTCTCCAGGAGCACCGCGGACGGCCCGTTCGGGTGCGTGCCCATCCACATCTCCGCGTACCGGGCGCTCCGGTCCAGGCGCCGATCCTCCGACTCGCACAGCTGCGCGACGAGCGACGGTTCGGGGGTCTCTCGAGGTGCCCCGGGCCAAAAGGTGCCCCAAGCTTTGCACCCCCCTTTCGGAGCCCCTGGGGCCCCCTGGGCCTCGTGAGGGGTGCGTTTTGGAGGCCCGGGGGGGCCTGGTGGAACATCCTGGGGGCACCTGGGGCCCTGGGGCGCGTCTAGCGCAACACCCGAGACGTATCCCACGGCTTGCCCCAGTCGTAGTTCTGGATCGCGGGTACGACCCGCAGCGCGCCCGCGACGGTGGTCCCGCCGCCACCGTCGGCGTCGGCCTTGTAGGACAGCAGGGCGTCCTGCTTGTCCCTGAGGTTCTTGCTGCAGACGCGCACCGGCGCGGAAAGCGTGGCATTGTCCGCTTGAGGGCCGCTCTGGGCGCTCAGGCGCTTCTCTGGCGGAAGCGCCACCTGGGCGGACAGCAGGTGTTGCCCCTCGCTCAGCCTCGCTATCTGCTCGCTCTGCTTCTTCAGGATCTGCTTGAGCTCCTTCTGGGTCTCCAGGAGGTCCCCCTGCGACTTCAGCAGAGCTTCGACCTCAGAGGCATCCCAAACAGGGTCGGGGTAGGTTTAGTCGCACCGCATCCCCGATGCACTCGCGACGCCGGCGTGAAGAAAGTCGAGCTCCACATGGAGCCGCATCCCCGACGCATCGGCGATGCGTTGCGGAGCGATCCTCCGACCCCATCGACGTACTCGGACCCCGTCTGAGGGGCCTGCAGTCGGACTTGATCGGGCAGGACACCCGAGGGGACGCCAGACGCAAGACTCTTCCGACGGCAGCGTAGCCCCAGAACACCAAGACACAAGGGTACACCCTGCGAAATGCTTAAGAAATCATGGGTTAAGAAATTCATAGTCTCAGAACTTGAATTAAAACCCAATATTTCGATTAAATTCTTAGGGTTAAAATTGAAACATTAAGAATAATTGAGACTCTGGCCGAAAACTTAAGTTTTCTTAAGCATCGCCTAATGTGTACACTCGATTTGGCATGGTCGACCCGCCAATCAGGACCGACGGTAGATCGGCGGCGAGCCCAGAGGGGAAGTGAGAAGGGGCGGGCCGTCTCAGAAGTGAAGGGGCCCCAGGACACACAAATAAATACACACAAATAAAACAATTCCCCATATTTTCCTACATTTTCTAGGTTTCTGTCTTCCCCCCCACTTCCCATATTTTCCCATATTTTCTGGGGAATCGAAGATTAATTGTGTCTGTGTGTTTTTTCCTCTCCTGAAGAAGGCTAGGACGGTTCCCGGTCTTCTGAGAGAAGTTCCCTGAGGCGTCCCAGAAGTCACGGGAAACCGCTCGGAAGGCGGGAGGGCTTCCGAGAAGCACCGCCGCCCTCTGAGAAGGCCTGCTCCTGCTCTGACTACCTACCAGACCACCCCAACCCAACCCGAAGACCCGAATTTCAGGTCTGGGAGGGTGAGGGCTCCACATGTGCTTTTCGAGGTCTCCCGACCCCCCCCCCCCCCACTGGAAATCGAGGGTAAATCTGAGCCTTCGGGTTGGGTTGGGGTGGTTTGGTGGGTGGTGATCCTCCCTTCCCTCCCGGGCGCACCGTCGAGCTTGGCCTGGAGGCCAGTCATGAAGGGAAACTGGGACACACAAATAAATACACACAAATAAAATGATTCCCCATATTTTCCCATATTTTCTGGGTTTCTGTCTTCCCCCCCACTTCCCATATTTTCCCATATTTTCTGGGAATCGCAGATTAATTGTGTCTGTGTGTTTTTTTTTCCCTCCTGAAGTTAACTCTGGCCTCCGGCGGCCGTGCGGGGCGATCTCCGGGCCCCCCCCAGCACGCCCGCGGCGAGGCGCAGCCGCTCTGCGAGGCGCCTCGGGGCCGCGAAGCCGCCGAGCACGGGCGAGGACGCCCGACGGCCTGGACGCCTCGAGAGCCCCACACCTCCGACGGGTGGAGACCTGTGAAGGGGCCCCAGGACACACAAATAAATACACACAAATAAAAAGATGCCCCATAGTTTCCCATATTTTCGGGGTGTTTGTCTTCCCCCCCACTTCCCATATTTTCCCCTATTTTCTGGGAAATCGAAGATTAATTGTGTCTGTGTGTTTCTTTTCCTCCTGAACCTGGGGTGGAGACCCTGCGAAATGCTTTAGAAACCATGGGTTAAGAAATTCATGGTCTCAGAACTTGAATAAAAACCCAACGTTCCCATTCGAATCTTAGGATTTACATTGGAACATTAAGAATAATCGAGACCCTGGCCGAAAACTTAAGTTTTCTTAAACATCGCCTAAGGTGGAGCTTGGCCTGGAGGCCAGTTATAACTCTGGCCTCCCGCGGCCTTGCGGGGCGATCCGGGCCCCCCCAGAACGCCCGCGGCGAGGCGCAGCCGCTGGGCGAGGCGCCTCGGGGCCTCGCGAAGCCGCCGAGCACCGGCGAGGACGCCCGACGAGCTTGGAGCCTCGAGCCCCACACCTCCGACGGGTGGACACCCTGCGAAATGCTTTAGAAACCATGGGTTAAGAAATTCATAGTCTCAGAACTTGAATAAAAACCCAAATTCCCATTCGAATCTTAGGATTTACATTGAAACATTAAGAATAATCGAGACCCTGGCCGAAAATTTAAGTTTTCTTATAAACATCGCCTAAGGTGTACACTCGATTTGGCATGGTCGACCCGCCAATCAGGACCGACTGCAGATCGGCGGCGAGCCCAGAGGGGAAGTGAGAAGGGGCGGGCCGTCTCAGAAGTGAAGGGGCCCCAGGACACACAAAGCAATACACACAAATAAAATGATTCCCCACATTTTCCTATATTTTTT